ATATATATTCAAGTGTTCTTCACAAGTGAAGGCGTAAGCCTAATCGAGCTGTTGAACCAGTGCCATCTTTCGTTGACATTATGATGTTCTCGAAAATATTTATCCTAATAATATTACTTAGAGATTTTGAATATAGCAAATATCTTAATTTTGGTTAATGACGATAGCCTGAGATTTATTATTTCTGCCTAAATGACCTTAAAAAGTAACGTTTAACTTTAATTATTCACTGAACTGTGGAAATGTGGAATCCAAGATGGCGCACATCATTTTTTCACAAAAATCCAAGTTTATGCCATTGGATATATACATTATTGTGTATCAAACTCACTAAGTTCATGATAAATTGAGAGTTAAACAACTTTCAGTGTTTAACGTGTATAACGATGGAAAAAAATTTCAAAAGCTTGACGACATTATGTTTTTAATAACTATTTATCAGCCAAAAGTATTTTCTATAACACAAAAAATATATTGGTCGTTCATAAAAGTTAGTAATAAAACAGCCGTTCCAAAGCCAAAATAAGGCCTACTTAAAGGTAAAACATCTTGTTCAGGCAACATTTATCGATATGTTTATTTCCTTCGTGTTTCCAAATCAGGCAGTTATCGATTACTAACTTAATTGGGCATTTTAAACGATTACTTATGGGAAAATAATAGCGGACTATAACAATCCTTAAACGTAATAAGTAGAATATAGATTTTTTTTCTTCTCTCTCTCTCTCTCTGGCAACCACGTTTAAATGTATTTTACTCGTGTTTGTAATTACCAGACTTAAAATTAATCATTGCAAGTTTGAATCACCTTTCTTAATTGTACAGTTTGTTTAAAAAGCAAATTCCTTAAATTATTATTACTATATACACGCTAAATAGTTGTAATTTTACCAAACTGTTGGGGGTTTATAAAGTTTGAGATTCATGTAACCGAAAAAGCTAAGTAATGCATATATTGAATAATTTAAAATATGTTTAATTTATATATAAAAAAACATATTATGTATTGTAATTTTCTTAATCTACTCCTGTGAATATATTTTGTCTTTTTGTTTGTTTATTACGCAATGGGCTATTTTGAGACTTACCGCTGAGCCATTGGGTGGGGGCGTTTCAAGAAGCACGTTTTTCGTTGTTGAAATTAATAAAATAACTTATATAAGCAGTTCTGTTAATTAACACCAGCTTTAGATAACTTGCTTTTGTGTGATGGGTATTTAATGTTTATTTTCATTACCATTTGTGAGGGGTGAAAATTTAATAAGTTCAATTATTATTTGAATGAAGATCTACCTTAGGTAGTGTAAGTGTCTCGAATTGATTTGTATGGACAGGTACTACCTTTGGATGTTTGTTTATTTTGAATTTCGCACAAAGCTACACGAGGGCTATCTGCGCTAGCCGTCCCTAATTTAGTAGTGTAAAACTAGAGGGAAGGCAGCTAGTCATCACCACCTACCGCCAACTCTTGGGCTACTCTTTTACCAACGATTAGTGTGATTGACCGTCACTTTATAACGCCCCAACAGCTGAAAGGGCGAGCATGTTTGGTATGACGGGGATTCGAACCCGCGACCCGCAGATTGCGAGTCGAGTGCCCTTACCACCTGGCCATGCCGGACCACCTTTGTATGACTTGTAGACAGAAACATTGAAAAACTTGTCCATAGATAGCATATGCTCTTTAAAAACCTGCAGAAGTTCAAAGGTTAACTGTGATTTGAGTTGACTGTGAAATGCCTTTACACTTGAGCAGCATAAGTAAATTCTACAGTCACCAATATATTCTCTAATGGGAAGTTGCCGCCTATTTCACACTGAACTCAGTGTGAATACTTCGCTTCAATCATCTATCAAAGAATAACCATGATTTGTTTGAACGAAATTTTACTAAATCAAAACAAACTGTGAGTTGGTGCATAAATTAGGAAAAGGGAGTCAATCTGTATTACAGGAAATCGAAACATTGTGGGATATTTTATTTTTGAAAGTCGCCAAATTTATCGAAATTATTAACTAAATGCTTTAAGATATGCGATAATGATACACAATTTCTTCAACGCCATCTATCTTTTAGGATGTTGTAAATAGTCTCGGTGGAAGCTCGTGCACTTTATCGAGATGCTTTACCCCTACTTCTTGTGAAACATGTAATTTACAAACCAACCCCCAAGACCAGTCGTAGGTAGCGATGGTTTGAATTTTAAGACTTGTTACTTACATTAACCAACTGTGTTATTTGTCTCATTTCAGATGCTTTCCTTCGTGGTCTTCCCTTTTTTACCTGCCCCCTCCAGTGGCACAGCGGTATGTCTGCGGACTTAAAACGCTAGAAACCGGGTTTCGATACCCATGGTGGGCAGAGCACAGATAGCCCTTGTGTAGCTTTGTGCATAATTAAAAACAAACAAACAATCCCTTTTTTTACCGGCGTCAAACTTACTGTGTTATTTATTTAATTTCAGAGCCTTTCCTTCGTGGTCTTCCCTTTTTTTTTTACCGGCGTCGAACTTACTGTGTTATTTATTTAATTTTAGAGCCTTTCCTTCGTGGTCTTCCCTTTTTTTTACCGGCGTCGAACTTACTGTGTTATTTATTTAATTTCAGAGCCTTTCCTTCGTGGTCTTCCCTTTTTTACCGGCGTCGAACTTATTCTTCCCCGTGGGATTTGTTGTTGCAGAACGAGTTCTGTACACCCCAAGCATGGGATTCTGTATGCTCGTAGCATATGGTTGGTATCTTCTACTGGAGAAAACGTAAGTACATTACTGACACTGGCATAAGTTGGTATCTTCTACTGGAGAAAACGTAAGTACATTACTGACACTGGCATAAGTTGGTATCTTCTACTGGAGAAGACGTAAGTACATTACTGACACTGGCATATGATTGGTATCTTCTACTGGAGAAAACGTAAGTACATTACTGACACTGGCATAAGTTAGTACCTTCTACTGGAGAAAACGTAAGTACATTACTGACACTGGCATAAGTTGGTATCTTCTACTGGAGAAAACGTAAGTTCATTACTGACACTATGAGCAATCTGCTTCGTTATACTGTAGTTTAACAACAGTTTTTCAGTTTTGAGCAATAACAACACCCCTTGTTTTACTATATAGAACTCTAGAAGTTTGCTATAAACCATTTAACTTTTTTTTCTCAGTGCTGTTTCCAAACATACAATAAACCTAAAGTTTTGTGCTCATTCTAAGAACGTATTGTCATTACCACAAGGTAAGGTGTTAATTAACAACTTTCTGATGGAAGAATATGACACATTATAATAAGCTCGAAAGTGTACTGGCCACATTTACATTAATTTTACCATTAAAGAAAAGCAATTAGGATGGTAAAATAATTTCGAAAAAGATTCAAATTAAAATCCGGCTGTTTTATGACTTATATTTCTTGAAGTTTTGGAGGAGGTACACGTGATATTTCGTGCATTATTTTGTTTACACCTTATTACTTGGATTTACTTATATAGAAACAGCCTAATTTTTATAGGGCAATGCCCATTAACATGAAGTTGTATATATGATTATTCCTTTCCAGCCATTGGAAATCGTTCTTCTGGGGACTGCTGGTGTTTTTATTGCTGACCCATTCTTTCAAAACAGTGACTCGGAATTTTGATTGGTACGTTGAATTTCCAAACCACCAATTACCTCTAATATTTCAGTTTAAAGTTTAGTATCTTCCACTGTCTAGACAATTCAATCAAATAGTAAAAAAAAAAGGTATTTTTAAATCTATAATTATCATATTATTTCGTTTTATAAAATTTATATAATCGTTTTCACATTAAACAATGTCTAATTTTAGCATATTTTCATACTAAACTTGGAAATATCCCAAGAAGATACCTTTAGTTGTAAATTTGTGGCTTATTTTACTGGAGATACTGTTTTATTTCCAAGAAACCAGCCACTTGTGTGCTTATCGAGGATCACTACATTAGTTCTCAAATGAATTTTGATTTACTGTTTCAAACATTAGTTATGTCATTAGAGCTACCGTAGCACTGCTAGCGCCATCTGTTTAATTAAACCCATGTCATTAATTCATTCCTAATACACCAAAATAGATACCTTTCCTGTTTCGACGCTGTTGCTATTTGTAATGATGACTTTGATAAATTAGCTATCTCGTCGTTCGTTTTGGGAAATGTTACAGTGTGAAAGACAATTCATAGGACGTTTTCACCGGGCGTGGCCTAATGGTTAACCTGTCGGGCTGTGGATAGAATGTTTAAGGTTTGCGTCGTGATGTCACTGAACACGTTCTTGAGTTGTAAAACATTATAATACTGACGACAAATCTTTTATTGACAGAGATCTGACCGTTTCTGGTTCTTAGTGCTGTTAAGACAGAATCTGTCAGATTCTGTCAACAGCACTAAGAACCAGAATCTGTCAGATCTCTGTCAAATTCACTAAGAACCAGAATCTGTCAGATCTCTGTCAACAGCACCCTCTTAGTGAATTTGACAGAGATCTGACAGATTCTGGTTCTTAGTGCTATTGACAGAGATCTGGCAGATTCTGGTTCTTAGTGCTGTTGACAGAGATCTGACAGATTCTGGTTCTTAGTGCTGTTGACAGAGATTTAACAGATTCTGGTTCTCAATGCTGTTAAACATTACGAGAATAATTAAATTTGTGCAGTTTGTCAAAAGAAACACCCAGTCAGAAGTTTATAAAATTGTTATGTGCAAACAAAGAAGTGAAATATTGACGGCTTTTAATTTTCTACGTGGAAAATCTTTCGAAATGTGATTGGCAATTTATTTGTTGGGCTTCTAATGAACACATAAATATATATTTATAATTCTACTTTTATTCTCAGATTGCCTTATGCGTATGGCTTTCACAATACTCGAATCACAGAACTTAGTGACAGACATTTTTACTTTCCAAAATCAGAATAAACCGTAGATGAAATTACTGGGGAAGCAGTCCCCCACCTTTGGTGTCACAAATTTTGCCCATGGAATAAATACACGGTAAAAAAGTAGAAAATATTGTGTTCTGTGTGTTTTATTCCAGGGAATCGGAGTACACAATATTCATGGCTGGGCTACGAGTGAATCACCAAAACGCCAAGTTGTACAACAACGTAGGTCATGCTCTAGAGGGGCAAGAGAAATTTCATGAAGCACTTCAATATTTCATAAAAGCTTCAAGGTAAGGGTTGTGATGCTGTTATAGCATATAAGCGTTAAAGGTTTAGTAATTCAACAATACATTTTATTATATATATATAAAGGTATTATTATTATATATATTTATTATACAATTCAACAAAAATAATACTGATGATAATTTACTGAACCGACTAAGCCTATTATCATCGGAAATTCAGATTGTTGTTAATATATTTCCAAGCAAAGTAGATTATAATTAGTATGGAACAGAATTATTAAAAACAACTTCATCGTTCTTTGGTTTAACAACGAAGAAAACTTCAATCTTAAGAAAGGCGCCAGATTATGATCACATAAAACTTAATGTATGTAAATTCGCTCCCGAGAACCAACAAAATTTTTCTATTAAGTACAATAATTAAAGAAAAAGCAATGTTTTATATAAATTTGTCCATTATACTAATTAATGGTGTTAGGGGATTAGAACTACATTAATTTCTTACTGAAAGATCATTAAACGTGAACTAAATGAAAACTTGTAATGATTAGAATTTGCTAATGTTATTACGTACAATCTTTAGCTATATTTATAAGAGTTTGTTCCATAGTTCTAGAAAAAAAACAACAACACAAATAAAAGTAAGGATTTCGTCATTAGATATCTATTGTTTGAGTTTGGACATTAACGAATGGAATCAAAACAAAATTCGTGAGTTAAGGATATCGTGTGCTAGTATTTACTTCACATACGTAAAGCAAAATAAGACGTGGTTAAAAGGCGACCCAGGCCTGTCGGATTTTGAATTCAATCTTGTTTCATTACTCAAGATTGTCTTTCTGCAAAAAATCTTGTTTTGGACTTTTTAATTAGGCAGACTTAATTTTAATACCTAATTAAGGAAACTTAATATACACCTACCTAAAAATAAATCTTGTTGATTTTCATTCCGAATTATGAAGACTCAGTAAAACCTAATTAATATATGTCTAATGGTCATTACCTATGTAATATACTGATCCTTGCAGAAAAACTAACAATACGTTCAACTCGTTTGGTAAAGCTAAACTCTTATTGGTTGGGAAAAAAAGTTATAACAATAGTCTAATCCACTGTGGTTCTGTACTAATAGTGTATCTAATTAAAACGATACTGTTTGCACGTAAACTCTCTACATAAAACTGTTTTTAAATTAGTTCAGTAGAATTTTTTTTTTTTATTTTTGCACGACAGAGCTCAACCAGATGACATTGGAGCACACATCAATGTTGGAAGAACTTTCAATAACTTACAACAATACGATGAAGCGGAGCAAGCGTTTTGGAAGGTAAGCTTTCATCAGTACATCTTCGTCTAAATGAAACGAAGGCGGAGGTAAAAAATTAAAAATATTGTTTGTTTGT